GACTTTCTGAACTCCTCCCAGTCCTGGGTTTTAGCATTTGCAACAATTCGGGCAGTGGTAGACATGGCTGGTACTGGTCATTGAATCATCTTTTTATACAATTTACGGTCTAATTATTGAAAGGAGGGTCAGCAGTGGGTTCCTCGCTGTTCTTTGATCCTTTTTAGACCACACGTCTGTCACACATCATCATTGCTCATCAGGCTGGTGATTGTGGAGGAGGATGGAGACAGTGAATGTCCACATACATTCAATGGCCTCAGAGTGACAGCCCTGCAGCCAGGCCCCCCTCACCTTGACCCTCGGCCCGTTCACGCCGACACGTCCCCGTCCCGGCCGCTCTGCTATGACCTCGTCTTCACAGGTTCTCTGGCCTCGCTGCTGACGGCTGAGTTATTATCATAATTACCCAGGAGGCATTGCAGAGGCCGGCACCATGGCAGAGGCCGTCCATGTTTAACAGAATATTTGGGTGTTTTATCGGCTTTAACTCAGCCCTCGGGGCAGGCGAGAAGGGCCACGGTGATAAGAAAACCACTCATGTGGGAAATGAAGAAGAGACGCAGTGAGGATGAGGATGAAATATACTGTTAATGCAGCAGTAGCACATATGTCATAGATCCTCCAAGACAAGGTGTAAATATGCTCATATATTCAGCACCTGTCCAACAGGAAGCTGGCTAAAAGAATGCAGCAGAAAAGAGGAGAATATCCTCAAAGTTGGAGGAATAGACCGGCTGACTTACTCCTCTCCATGACAAATGCATATTCAAGGGAACACACTGCTATTAAACCATGCACATAATGGGTCACTGGCTTCAATCCAAACATGTCATTGTGTTGAGAGCTTACACATCAAAATTAGAATTTATTTCTCAAAACAAAGTTTTATCAGCCAGAAAAGATACAAACACATTCCCTGATCTCCTCAAAGGTCAGCCTCCCATACTGTATATTCGTCAAACTCAGCTAATACTATACCACTACCCATCAAATATGTTCATTGTGGCACTTAGCTGTGTGTGCCCATGTCTTATTATGCACATCCATCTGTGTGAGGTCAGCGGTCATGGCTGGTCCTGGCAGGGGCTACAGGTGAGCAGATGAGAACAGTAGGGGCTCACTTTAATTTAGCTAAGCGCTACTGGATGCTGCGAGCTGTCGTATCTGGGAAGGACGAGATGAACTTTTCACAGACGCCTCAGATTCATCACTATATGGTCATATTTGCTACACATACTGGAGTACAGTAAAAAATATGAAACTAGACAAAAACACAGTCAGCAGCAAAAGGACATATTTGTAACTCACATGACAAGCTGTTTGTAAAAATGTAAAGATAAAAAGGATTTTTGGAGGCCATATACGGCTATATGCTGTAATTAATAAAAGAATAATATTATGCATACAACCAGCTATTTTTATGTAAGGGCTTTCAACTATGAGACCTTTCATACAACTAAACTAACACCACAACCTCACCACAACCTTACATAATGTATTGCTTTCTGCAAGTTTAGAGCAAAGACTTAAGCATCTATCCTAGACCAATTCAAGACTCATTGTCATAATCTCATAATGACATTCTTTTCCAATTTCAATGTATTTACTTAAATCACAACAGCAGTCACCTTGAAGGACTTGTTGGCCTACTTTATTACATAAAATCTAACATCTACAAACTGCTTTGATCCAACTTTGAATACATTCTCCAAACAATTTCCCTTCTGAACGGCCTTATAAACCCTTGAAGGACACAGGCTGTATTTGCCTGTATAGAAGAAATCCCAAATCTGGCACAGAGTAACTTCCTGTCTAGACTCAACACATGGAGGTCAGCGCTGACCAGAGCAGAGCAGAGCATTACACAGTTTACGTAACCACCGTCCAGAGACTGAGAAACTATATCTGCTCTACTTCCGAAATGTGAAAACAGAAACTGGCCAATATTACAGATAGATCTGGTTTTAAATTGTGATCCTTTTTGATTTAGAAATATGAATCAATTTACGTGCTAGTTAAGTGCTTGAGGTTTTTTTTCTCCACTTTATACGTTTCCGGGTCACAGTTAACGCAGACGCCCGACTTCCTGATCCCATATTCCTCCAGCTCATTCTGGATCTTCAATCTAAAATTTAATTAGCAGTTTAAACATGACATACACAAATCTTTGCTCAAGAATAGGTATGAAATGAAGTGTACATTTAAAGTAAAGATTGGGCCAATAGAGAAAAGAGGAAAATGAAAAATAATCTGCATTATTTTGGAATAAAATTACGTGAAAGTACTGCCACCTAACAAGGACACGTACGCTTGTCTTTAGCGATCACAGAAGACATCTCAGAGGACAACAAGTTTATCCCATTTTACCCGGGCTGAATCCTCATCACAAATGCTAAAAGTGTTTAACCGTGGCGAGCCGTATTATTGTGAATCAACATGATGGTGGTGGCTATTTCATATTCATGTGGGAGCCCAATGACACCTTGTCCTCTGGGTCCCAAAAGGCCTCAGTCAGCACTTGTCCAGCCCTTTAGCCCGACATGTAAAGCAAACAGTCTTCACCTCTGTGACACCATCAGCACACTGCAGCGCCGCATGGGACCAGGCATCACGAGACACCACTGACCACCTCCACGGACACTTAGTTTACTGCAAATGCGGATTTACTCTTATAAACGGCAGTGGAGAAATGGCTTTAGAATTGTGTCTGGAAAATGTTCATATCTTATCTAAAAGAGAGGAAGATATTCAATATCTAATTTAATGTTAGTGTTGATACATGTCTATGTAATTTAAAACATTCATGAGCCTGTTTAAAAAATGTAACTTACATTTTTTTATGTTGTGAATTACCTGTGTGATTTTAATTTTTATGTTTTTAATATTCCATGTGATCTTAATGCTAGTTTCTAATGCTCAGTGGGACTTTAATGTTTAGGATTTATGCCTTATGTGATATGGGCTGTAACACACTTTGTGTTACCTTGTGTAGGGAAAGCGCTCTACAAATAAACGTTGATTGATTGATTAACTGAAGAATATGGAATCACACCAAATTAACCATTCAATAGAAATCATGTATTTTCTCTTTCTTCAATTTGCGATTATTAGTTTTAGTATTGAGATCATATGAAGCAGCAATTTTTAGAATTATAATATATTAATATAATATATAAAAAAGTGTTCAGGATGTTTTATCTTTTCACTTTTGCTGTCAGTTGCAAATTATGTACGAGCCTTTATAAAGATATTCTCAGTAACATAATGTTTCTCACTATAAAAACCTAGTGTAGAACAATTAAACAATGATGGTATGATTTTTTTTTTTACAGGGACAGTGTACAACAAACATCAGTTCAAAGGGGAGATGATTGTACCAGGTTAAAGCAGGTGTTAATGTAGAATTGAAGTCACTGAGCAGTTGTATGTTTCATACCTGCTTGTCCATAATGCCTGTTCTCATCAGATCCCAGAAGCTAAGCAGTGCAGGGTGTAGTTAGAACTGTGATGGGAAACACTTCATATGTTTATAAGTAGTTACAAATTATCCCATTGTAGTTGAATCTTATTTTAATTGATTAATTTGATTAATTGTTTCATCCCCATATGAATAATATACACAATTATAAAGTCTCTTCAAGGCCGGCTGTCTGTTAAACCCTCTCATAAAAAATACTCCCCTACCTGAATTATAAAGCACATTATGAATGCCCCTGGGGAGGCTTAAATATTGTCTTTACGATTTTATAAATTTAAAATGCTTGAATAATCTGGTCTCTTAACGCAGAGTAACAGAGCAGCCTCATATTCAAAGTTACACATGAGGTACATAGTATTATTTACTCATGCAAGTAATAGAATCTTTCAGAGGTTTAAGATAGAATCACTCGTTGAATATGACCTAACCTTCAGTCATCGTCTAGACATCGCAGAGAATGGCGTCCTGTATATGTTCTGAAAGTAAAATTATGACTCAGACTGCAATCAAATAAGGCGAGTAATTTTAGCAGTATGACTGGAGTGGGTTTTGGGGGTCTTCTATTTGGTTTTATTTCCAGAATGTCTGCCCCAGTCTGACTCATGGCCTGTTACCCCTAAAATCCGCAGACGAGACTGTGCTTGCGCTCTGTATGTGAACTATTGTGGGGCAGTATTTGGGTCTGTCTGCCCATGTCTTTCCAGGACTAGCCGTCTGACTAAGAGCGTGAGTGGCCAGAAAACCCTGAGTGTACTTCGGTCTTGGCCATGAATAGTAAGCAGGAATCTAACGTACATTTTGGAAATATGAGAGCATTTTTCCTCTATTGTAGCCGCATATGTTTTTATTTTCACAATCTGGTCAAGGGCTGCATTCCTTTTCTGTGTGCGACTGGAGATTGCCGAAGAGTGAGTCACTAAAACCTGAAGCAGCCGTGAGCTCATCATGCTCCCCACTACAGGCTAAACTTGAATGAATCCTGACGACGTGTGGAAACCGTCTAACTCGGGTAGGATGAGCGCATTGGAGACATTCTCCCATAAGTGTCTGTCATGGGTTTGGACGTGGACAGTATAAAGGAATAAACTGGCATGAGTTGAACAGTTACATTTTCCCAACCCATCCCAATTTGACAAATTCTTTCTCTTTCGCTGCACAAGATTTTTTCTCTTGATTATGATCTAAAAGAATATATAAATAGAACTGCTTACTTTTAATTATTGATTTCATGAACATAAATCATTAGTGTTGCTGAATTTGGTTCTAAAGGTGAGTTCAAGAGCTATTGTTTGTCGAGCAGCATCACCTGCTGGACAAAAATAGAACTGACACATCTGAGGCAGCGAATGTGAAGGTGACAGGTGCTAATGAACGGAAATATATTTTTAGTGTGTACTTTTGAATAGTTTCATAATAAGAATAACATTTTATTTGCAGGATTTAAAGGCTTTATTTGACTTTGCCAAATGTTATACTTTTTTACTTTCAAATTAGATTACGTTTTGGGCACAAGCAAACTATGTGGATTCACAATGCTCTGGTGAGTGGGAAATAGATAAATACAATAAATAAATATAGAAATGAAATAACAACTAAAGCTATGTCTGTTTGATGTGAAATGCCCAGGATCACACGAACTGGACTAAACACTATTAAATGTCCGCGGAAAACTTTATCCCTAACACTAAAACCCATTCGCGTCATTGAAGTGTTAATGATGATTTTATGATGGTCAGAAAACTTAAGGGGAAACATACTATTTTGAGAGTTTGTTATTCATTGAAAATGGGCTGAATCTATTTTTAGTATTAGTAAAAATAGTCTGGGACTTTTTTAATGCCATATTTTCTTTTTTCAGTCAACACATGTTCCTTCCTTTGATGCTGAGGTGGGTCAGAGCCGCGGCCCCTCCTCCATCCCACGTCAGAAAGTAGTGCTACTCAGCTATAAAAGATTTTACTTTAAGTTTACGTGCATCGCACAAACTATTAGCGCGTAACAAGCAGACTCCATCCACGTGTGTGTGGAGCAGGACCCGTCACCTCTCGGAGCTGGGATGGACTCACGGAGCGCTCTTTTCTGACGCGCGCTCTGAAGCGGCGGCACGTGGACGCTCATGCCGGGATGGACTTTCATGTGTCTGCAGAGCTGCATCACTCAATCCTACACAGTGGCTTTTGTAAAAGTGCATCAACAGTGGAACTGAAGAGGCAGAGCCAGTGGACCCTCCAACTATAGAGAACTATTCAAACACTGACATCAGCAAATTCACAAAATGGATTTAGGGAAAGCTCTTTTGTTTATCCTTCTTCACTGCGCCACGCTGAGCTCAGCCTTGTCAACCTGTGCCACCGTGGATATGGATCACGTAAAGAGAAAGAGGGTTGAGGCCATACGTGGTCAAATCTTAAGCAAACTTCGCCTCACGAGTCCTCCTAAGTCTATGGGACCAAGTAAAGTCCCGTATCAAATCCAGGCGCTGTACAACAGCACCAAAGAACTGTTGGAGCAGCTCGGGAAAGAGCGACAGCAAAGCTGCGGCCAGGACAGCACCGAGACGGAGTACTACGCCAAAGAGATCTACAAGTTTAACATGCTCTACGGACCGCAGGAAAACAGTGAGTACACGACACTACACACACGCACTTTCTGCTTAAAACCATCGCGCAATTGCTGAACACCAACACATATTTTTTGTCGCTACATATATTGATTATATATGAGTAGTAACTGAACAATAACATTTCCTCCAAGTCAGTCTGTGTCTGTTATTCTGGATCCAGTATTTTTTCCCAGAATCCAGATGTTCCCATTTCCTATTCAGTCGAACCCAAATAGAGTAGGGGACATCTGCTGTAGCAGACAGGGAACCTTGGGGTATTGCCTACAATGGAAAAGTGAACGGTAGTAGACAGTAAAGTATACGCGACAGGGCAACAGGCTTTGTGAGGGAAACCCTGACACTGCTGCACGTGGAGTTCCATGAGGTCTTCAACTGTTACACATGTGAGGGCTGTGACTACTGTTAGAAGACAGTATGAGTATGTTATTGTCACAGTGTGTGTCATCGTTCCAACTCAAATATACATGAAGTCTTATGTATATATTATAAACCACATTGGCACAAGTCATCACACATAAGATGAAGGTGAAGCTGCAGACGCAGAGGACTTGGTTTAATCAAATCAGCAGAGGAAATGGATACAAACACGATTGTATATATTACACATTCCCATAAATATCGGCAGAGTCATCTTAAAACAACAACACAGCTGAGGATGCCACACTGTCATTATGCCCCTGTATAGATCACTGATGTGGAGTTTGGATGGATTTTAAACCATGTCAAATGTTTGATCTGACATTGAGTAAGGTAATTTACAGATCAAAACATTTAAACACAACTCACTCTAATATATGGTAATGTACTTTTTGTTTCAGATGATCTTACCCACTGTATAAAAGGAGTCATCTCAAAAATATTTCGTTTTAATGTTTCTGCTATGGAAAGGAACTCCTCCAACCTCTTCAAAGCTGAGTTTCGAGCTTTAAGGATCCCAAATTCCAGCGCCAAGAGGAACGAACAACGGATTGAGCTCTATCAGGTGTGTAAATGTACTTTATCATGGAGCATTTTGTAAAACACAATCAATACCACTCTGTGATTTTGAAGTTTCATGGCGGATGAGGCATGTGCTTCTCACATCACATTATTAGATTCAATAGATTAGAGATAAACAACAGCAGTGCTGTCGCTACTGTTTGAAATATACTATGGTGTGATATGCTGTGGTATGATTTTAATTGTATACAGGGACAGTGCACAATGAACATTAGACGAAAGGAAAAATGCGTTGTACCAGGTTGTGTCAATTAACACCTGTAGTGTCTGAGCAGGTTGTTGTAAAACAGTAAAACTAAAGTAGACGGATACACACGCATCACACATGGGTGCACATTTGTCTTTCCAAGAGCCATTTCCATAAGGTGCACAAATACTTTTAGTTCAGTGCACCTGATGATCTCAGTTGGGATCGAGTTCCACTGAGTCGCTGCAGGAGGAAGAAGTCCGATCTATTGAAATTGGTTCAATGGTTTGGGATGCAAAACTCTGCTCTTGCTGTAAAAATAAAGCAGGCAGCTACTGAGTTCATCTAATTAACTATAACAATATGTGGCTTTTTATTTCAGATTCTCAGACCAAATGAACACATTCGAAAGCAGCGCTATATTGGAGCAAAAAATATCCTGACCAAAGGCACTCCAGAGTGGGTGACGTTTGATGTGACTGAAACTGTGCGAGAATGGCTCACAAACAGAGGTAAAAGCAACTTGCCTTTATTCATATTTAAAAGGAGCTATACCCGTTTCTGCAAGGTTTGAATGTTTAGCACCGCCCCCCAACTCGCTCAATGGCTTCTCATCTACACTACGCTCTCATCCCACAGAGCCATCTAGTTTTATTTGCGACCTATATCAAAACATTAGCATGAGCGCAACTTCTTGCAAGCTGTACAACAATCACTGATGAAATGGTACAAAAGCAACGCACTGCTAACAAAATATATTACTGAAATATTACCGCTAGTTCCGCGTCCGAATGTAGACCGAGCATAGATAGTCCGAGGCGGTCCGCACCTGCAGGTCTCTCCCATAGACTGTAAGTCTCTCCAGAGGATACGATGTAAGCTAGCAATGTTCACCCGGGCTTGAGTTCTTCTTTGATCATTCTTTCGCTTTAGTTCCTGCTTCTCTTCCTCACTGTTGTGTTGTTTGGGCTGTTTTGCTGTGTATGCAGTTACAGCCAGAGGAGTAACAGCCACTTCTGCTTACATGCAACTGTGTTTAGCAGCGCTGTAGAGGCTATAGGACGCAGCATGTTCGCTCCTCGTTCTGTGAGGACGCTAAGTCTCTACTCAGCTCTTTTTACGGCCTGAATTCATACACAAGCTAAATCAATGAGCTCAAGTTTTCAATTAAATTACGGATAATAAAGCAACTTGTATGTAGTAATAAGCATTTTTATGAACTCATTAAAAAAAAGATCGGGTATAGGTTCTTATAAATGATAAATGTTTCACTAACTCTGTTTTATGTCTGCTTTTCTGCAGGATCTAACATGGGGTTAGAAATCAGTGTTCATTGTCCATGCAACACTTTCAGTCCCAACGGTGACATCCTCGATGAAAATGAGGTTCTGGAAGTCAAGTTTAAAGGTAATAGAGCACACGTGTTACGCACAGTTGTGTGTCAGTGTACACACACAGGCAGAGATTTCTTTTGCCATATTTGCTAAGTATTATGAATGATAATGCATACACATTTTCACTCATTGTTAGTGGTTGTGTGAAGCCATTTACTGTATATAAAGATGTTTTCCACTTAATGTTAAAAGACAAAACTCAAATAACCCTGATTAGAAGGGTTTCCAATTGGGTGGATTTCCACTTTGACGTCTATGACAGCTTGGAGTGTTTTGTGGTCTTTGTTTGAAGCCCTGTCGGAAACAGGGCCTTTCTGAGAGGAGTTATAGGTTCTATGCCTAGGTTTCCTCTGGGTGCTCTGGTTTTCCTTACCCTTAAAAACATATACAATAGATAAAATCCTCCAGCTCAGGTAGTCCTGACCAAGAAGAGCATCAACGGGTCCGTAGGGGCTATACTATTGCGGCCTCTACTCCTGACAGGGCCGAGCGGCATTGAGGGTGGGTCAATGCAGAAGACAAGTTGTCCTACAGGGATAAATAAAGAGTAACTTAACCCTTGAGCCTTTGACCCCTCTGATGGTAAAGCCCATTCTTCTTGGCAAAAGGCCTTCACTGGCTGTAAATTCTCAGGCCGCCTTGCATTAATAGAACATTTGCACAGAGCGACTCAATTGTGTTATAATAATAATGCATCGGTTTTATATAGCGCTTTTTTGGGCACTCAAAAGCGCTTTACATGTCATTATTCAATCAATCCATACACGGTGGTGATAAACTACTACTGTAGCCACAGCTGCCCTGGGGCATACTGACAGAAGCGAGACAAACAGTATGTGCCATCGGCCCCTCCATCCACCACCAACCATTCACACACACACCAGACTCATTCTAGGCTATGAGGGTGTCGTGTCATGCCTAAGGACACAACAACAGTTTGGCAATTTACAGCCGCCCCACTGTGGCATCAGGTGTTCCCAGAGGTGTCTTGCCAAGGACACAACAACAGCGGACATCAGTAGGAGTCGGTGGAGAAAGTCTTGTGGTGGGCTCGAACCCACGACCTTCAGGCTCAAAGGCCAATGCCCTACCAATGAGGTACTGTTATGATTTGAAAATAAATGGCGTTATCATTCATGATCTCTAAAATTGCCGAAATAGTGAAATCTGACTGAGTGTGTAGACTTTCAACCACAACTGTTATATATCACAATTATCTAGCATCACAATTTAAAAAAAAATCTATTTATTTTTCTGACTTCACGTTGTGAGCCCTAATTCTAACGCTGTTTTTAAAGGGATTGATGGAGAAGACGAGCAGAGCCGCTGGGACCTGGATTATCTAAAGAGAATGAAGGACCAGTCTTTACCTCACCTGATCCTGATGATGCTCCCTCCTCACCGCCTCGACACCCAGTCGTCACGGAGACGCAAGAGGGCCTTGGACACAAACTACTGTTTCTCGTACGCTCACTACCCCATACGACTTTTGGTGTTTATTTCAGTGGGTCTTATTGTATTTATGATTCGGTTTTTGAAGGACCATGGAGGAGAGCTGCTGTGTTCGAAAGCTTCACATAGACTTCCGAAAGGACTTGGATTGGAAGTGGATTCATGAGCCGAGTGGTTATGACGCCAACTACTGCTCTGGGCCGTGTCCGTACCTGCGCAGTGCGGACACCACACACAGCTCGGTAAGAGATCCTTTATTCGTCCCACATAGAGGAAATTTCAGTGTTGCATCTCCAGTTACAGAACAGTAGGAATTAGGAGCACACAACACAAGACAAATAAAATCTCTAGCTTTGTCATAATGAAGAAGCAAGAATTAAGTATAAAATCTCTAACTTTATAATAAGTAGTAAGAATACAGTCTCTATATTTAGAATAATAAAGAAGTGTAAAATACTGTATGTTCTAGTGTAAGAAACTCATAGTTGTATGCTTTAATCTGAAAATGTTAGTAGCATGAGGGTATGGACCAAGAGACTAGGGAAAGAGCCAGCGGACGCATGTGATGCTGTGATGCTATCTTGTACATTCTGACATTAGTTCGAACTATTGCACAGATGCACGACATGCGAGGTCAGGTCGGCAGTGTAATATGCAGAGTTTGAATGATTGTGTTTCCTTTGTACTCAAAGCTGCTGAGCCTGTACAACACTCTGAACCCCGAAGCCTCAGCCTCTCCCTGCTGTGTGCCCCTGGAACTAGAACCACTCACGATCCTCTACTACTCTGGTCGGACCCCCAAAGTGGAGCAGCTCTCCAACATGATCGTGAAGTCCTGCAAGTGTAGCTGAGACGCCTGGAGGCTGAGGCCTGGTGCAGACCTTAGCTGTGGTTAATACTTTTACAACAGTTGGACAATTGGAATGAATGTTATAAGGACAAATGTATTCATACTGATCTTCCATTGAGCCTCAATTGTGAAACTGTGGAATTGCATTAAGTCTTTTGCCCTACAGTCTTGTTTGATTGGATTTCCTCCCTGGACCTATGAACAGTGGGCATTATACTGAACACAAAGGGAAAAGACAGTCCTGCTGCAGTGTCCAGAGCCAGAGCTGTGGTCTGAGGAGGGGGAGCCGAGAGAGCGAATGTTGGATTCCCAAATGGAAAGTGGATGAACGAAAGGTTGAGCCAAGAGTTTCTTTCTTAGGCGATGATGAACTTTTTAGTGAATTCAATATAATAATAATACCTAATGGTAGAAGAAAAACAGAGTGTAGAGAAGAGGAATTCACTGGACATCACTCTCCTTCAGACTATTTCTGGACAAGTACTACTGGAAAAGTGACAGTTACACAACCACTTTAATTAGATTTATTTTACAGTAAAACCAGATTTGGACTGTTACAAAACTTTCAATGTAATAAATATCTCTCAGCCTATATTGTACAATATAAATTCAATTTGTTAAACTAAATACTGGGCAATGACGGCAAATTATTATTGACATGAATGAAGAGTTTACGTCCTCTAAAACGTTAACGTTGAATTCTATTATGGAATAGTAAATGCGGTGCTGTTAAATTCTTCTGCTCTGGTCCATATAAGTTCAGTATTTACATTACGTGGTGCTTGTTTTGGTATTAAATTGTTTTAGGAATAGGTAAAGATGTGAAGACGGTTATTTAAATGGGTTGAATGAAGCACATTGTGACTTTGATCTCTGAATCCGTGTTCTGTTTGACATTGAAATTGCTTGATTGACTCAAAAGACATTTTTAACATTAAAATAAACAATGTAAAAGTTGAATGAGCCATTAAATCATTCTTTCCCGATTGAATTGTTATGTGGACGCCTGAATCCAAAACCAGTGTGACATCTTGAATTTACATTTAAAAAACTCGCTCTGGTTTCACACAAGCATATTTTTTATGACTTAAAATTTCAACAGCTGCTTCCTCGAGGCAAATGAACACGACAAACTATGAATTCACCTCTTTTGCAGCTTAACAGCTTTCCCAGTCAGAAAAATATAATTATGGAACCAGGGCTGTGACGATTGATCCAGTTTTTTTTACTATTTTACTCATTTACTCATCATTTATTTGTCGAGAGATGTTATTTTAATACACAAAAAGGGAAGCGATTGCATTGAAAATATAAAAAATTGTGTAAATGTCTAATTTTCATGATAAAATGGCCTGTTTTGTAAATTAGCCGATTAGGATGTCCTCTGGTGTCTTTACAACAGCTTTATCTGGGTCAAACTGAGCCAAATATTGTATCTGTGTTCTAACTAATTCAATTGAAAGAATAAGGGCTAGATTAATTGATTATCAATATGATATTTACTTGAGCTGAACGTGTTGTTTTTGTATCATGCAAATATCTTGTTGGGTACACATTGGGTACACACTCGCACTTATACCAATATTGTGCAGCTCCATTAGTTGCAGCACTACTCAGAAGAAACATCAATAACAAAACTTCCTACACATATTTTAAAGCCGGAACTATGCTCTTTTTCAGGACAATAAATCTAACACTAACACAAATACACAAAGTATACAAATGAATTATTAAAGAGCCTGTACCTAAATCTCCAGTCAGACATGTTCAACACAAACACATCTGAAGCTTTTGTTTCTTTATACATGCCTCGGCCTATCTGCGTGCAACTTGAACTAATGCAAAATGACAAGTGGGCAGAGAGAATGTCTTTTCGGTGTGTGCCCGTTATTGCTCCCTGTCACAACCAATCAGAGGTGGAGCGGGCCAGACACAAAGACCAGAGGGCACAACACGGGCTCACAGAGGCGTCTGCTCAGGCCACTAATGGCTTCACGGGACGGCCTGTACCAACGACCGCACGTGACCGCGCAGTGCCACCAAACACATGCATGATTGACTTTTAACACTCCACTCAAATGGGAAAGAACAGGGAAAAATCGCTGTTCGAAATAGAGCTGCATTTTGTTTTCAATTAAGTTGTCAGTTGCATGCATTCACCAAATGTCCCCCGAGATTTCAAATAGTGTGGAGACTTTCACATGTCAGGGAAATGGAAGGGATGCGACCTTTTCTTCAGACAAAAACTCGACTTACTATTTCCACCAAGTGTGATTTTGCTGTCGTCTGAGGACAACACATTTGACAGTGCTATAACAAAGTGGCAGAAGTAATAACAAATAATTATAACTTTTTTCAGGGGAGTGCTGACCCCAGAGAGAGGGGAGCTATTGTACAGTTGTATAGTGGTATGGTAAACCGTAGGACCCGGGGGAAAACCTACTGTACACAGACACAGGGAGAGCATAAAAAATTCACTCAGAAAGGCCCTGTCTGGAATTCGAATAGATGGGCTCGGGGTTCATAAGTCCTACTTCTTCCAACTACATTTCAGGTCTCTATAGGGTTGAAGAGGAATATGTATTTAATATGTATTTACAGTGGGGAAAAAAGTATTAAGTCAGCCACCAATTGGGACTTGCAACTCCCTTGCTGATGGAAGGGAGTTGAAAGTCACAATTCAAAATATTACAATACATGGCATAGATATATTTTTCATAGATAATGTTGCTTGTGGGCAGCAGAAAGAGAGTAACACTTTGGGCTCCCCATTGAGTGAGATTGGTCGTTTCTGTTTTGATTTTCTGTCTGAAAAGGCTGAGATGCTAAAATATACATATATGTGAAATAATGATAGAACCAAAGTATTTTGAGAGTGAAGAAAAAGTTAGATGGATTTGACGGTTATTTTGTTTGGGTTTTGAAAGTTAGCTACCCCAGCTTTAAGTTGTGTCCATGTAAACAAGCACTTTGAAAGGAAAACTCAACTCTCCATCAAAGCAGTAAAAATCAGACATATTCCTTCATAATACTTGCTCTCTCGCTCTCTCTGTCCTTTCCTGTTTGCTGTCAGACTTCTTTTTCCACACCCACTCACTGCTGTAACATAAAGCACACTCCTATCCAGACCTCCCATTCGTTTATTTAGCTCTTAAGGCTTATGTAGCTGTTTACATATTTGTGTTAGCCTTCACTCTTTCCAGTAAGTATGGCCGGCGGCTTGACTTGTATACAGTGCGTGCTATGGGAGCCCCAATCACAAGGCAGCTTCAGGGGCCTGAGAACCGCTCTGATTTGACCCTATGATTTTGATACACACACGCACACATGCACAGCGCACGCACACGCACACAAACGCACACAAAGACACACTTAGCTCCTTTGTCTCAGCCTCCACATCTGTTAATCTGCTCAGGGAATAGAGCTCTGCGTTTTCCAAACCTCTGTACATTTACGTGTCAAGCAATTTATCACTAGTAAAGCCTTGGACCAGCACCCGTTTACAAAAATTGCAAGTTGACACAATCAGACGGTGGTTAGCTAATTCAGTAGCCGGGAGCAAGGACATTTACTGCTGCTTTGAAGTAAAAATAAACAGAAAAAAACTAACAAAGACACATAACATAACAGGTAGTAAAGCAGACCTGAATTTTCCTAAACCTGATTTATTTGTGCAGCTAAAATATGCTTTTGTTCTCTTGACAGTTTTTGTATTGAGAAAGGCTGAAAGATATATCACTATGGTGTCCATAGAGATATGAACTTAACATCAAAATAGCAACACAATAAACAGTATAGATTTCCCAGTAAAATTCCAGTATATTTCCAATAAAACTTAGTTTTCCACCAAACCCAAAGTTATATTGTATCACATGGTGTGGCGCCACTTGCATGTGACAGCCAGACAGGGAAAGACCTGATTAGTAGTGTGATGGGAGACCCTCTGCCAGAGGTCTCCCATGGCAGCTGCTGTAACGTGCCAAACGGCACGGTGTCTGGAATTAATATTGAGATGATATGATGTTTCATTCAGCCCTAGTAAAGAGCATACGGTCCGAGAAACTAAGTCAACTGCTTATATATCAAGCACTGGCTAGTTTAACTAGTCCATACAGTCCTCCCATCACAGCTAACTGTATTCTAGGATCAGTAAATTATGCTCTTATGAACTACAAGACATTTTATTGATTTAGCATATTTCAAACAGAGAACCGCAACTCCATGCGCTTCACAAAGAACCATGTAATTAATGGATGAAACCTTTATTAGTCCAACAGCGAGGAAACTAGGGCTGGGCGATATGGCAAAAAAGTAAAATCTCGATTTTGTTTTCTGCTTTGGACGATTTCGATTTTAAATCGATTTTCATTAAAGTTTGCCCTTAAAAATATGTTTTGATCTTTCTGCTCAATAATCAAGTTTCAAAACTATTTTTAATTTGTTTCCCCAATACGTTTTTAAAAAGTCTTGTATAGACTGTGCTGATGTTGCAAGTATAATTCATGTGCTGCTGGAACTCTCACAATATCCTTTCACAATTTTCACATTTTTCACAAATAAATTTTTTTCAAAAGCCGATTAATTGCCTAAATTCGATTTATTGCCCAGCCCTAGAGGAAACTACAGAAATCACAAAAAGGCAGTGAAGGGACTGCCTAAGAATAAGTGCAATAGAGTGGTACCTGCGAAACAGCGAGGCACAAAAGGTGAACTGCGTTATAGAGAGGGACCACTGCATTATGATTTGCAAAATGTGTGAAAAGGAAGGACTATCTAGAATGGTTACAAATCAACAGGCTCTATTTCAATAATTCTAAACTAATACGAACATTGAATAAAGGCCATAAAATACTGTTAGAGATGTTGTTTTTGTAAAATGAGCTGAGACACATGAGGACAATGTGGGAGAATAGAAACCTCCCATGACCCTTTACTGCAAGAAGCCGCATGTAAAGTGCCTGGTCCAGGGACACGACATCACTATTCACATCAAAGGTTTAA